CTCCAGGGGATCTTCCTGACTCAGGGATTGAACCCTGGTCTCCTGCATTGCAGGAAGATTCTTTACCTACTTAGCCACCAAGGAAGCCCATATGTAAATACATATATATACATTTACTAGAGTGATATACTCATTGATGTTATAGTAATTCCATTAGAGTCAGGATGAGAGCGTAAGGGGCTTTCCAGGCAGTGCTAATGATAAAGAACTTGCCTGCCAATGCAGGTGGGTTTAAGAGGCAAAGGTTCAATCCCTGGGTTGGAAAGATCCCCTGGAGTAGGGCATGGCAACCCACTCTAGTATTCTGGCCTGGAAAAATCCCTTGGACAGAAGAGCCTGGTGGGCTGCAGTCCATAGCATTGCAAAGAGTCGGATATGACTGAAGCAATTTAGCACACATGCATGAGAGATAAATGTATAAATCTTGGAGGATAACATTAAATACATACATACGAGCAATGTGATCATTGATATTATAATAATTTGGTTAGGATAAGAGTATAACATGGGGTGCCCTGGTGGCTCAGATGGTAAAGAATCCCCTGCAAGGCAGGCGATGGGGCTTCAACCCCTGGGTCAGGAAGAATCCCTGGAGTAGGAAATGACAACCCACTCCAGTATTGCTGCCTGGAAAAATCCCATGGACAGAGGAGCCTGGCGAGCTACATTACATGGGGTCACACAGTCAGACACGACTGAGTGACTGAGCTTACACACAAGAGTATAACATAATAATAATGACGAACTGACTGTCAGAGACATCAGTGAGGACTCCCACTGGAAAAAAAAGTGAGCTACTCATGTCCGACCCTTTGCGAGCCCATGGACTGTAGCCTGCCAGGCTCCTCTGTCGATGGAATTGTGCAGGCCAGAATACTGGAGTGGGTATCCATTCCCTTCTCGAGGGGATCCTCCTAACCCAGGGATTGAACCCAGCTCTCCTGCATTGAGGGTGGATTCTTTGCCATCTGAGCCACGTGCGGAGGCCAAGAATACTGGCGAGGGTAGCCTATCCTTTCTCCTGTGGATCTTCCCAACCCAGGATTGAACTGGGGTTTCCTGCATTGCAGGCGGGTTCTTTACCAGCTGAGCTACCTGGGAGGCCCACACTGGTTGGTATTTCCATGGTACTTCTCCACAGTAGTAAATAATTTCACAGTAAATAACTGAGATAAGAAAAGCCCATAGTCTATGTTTATAGAAATGATACAGTATTCAATAATGGCTGTAATTATGGTTCCAGTTTGTGATCCCCAAAATAATGCAACATGTACCCCAGAGAGGGTCCTTTCTGTATCAGCTAGAATTCACATCCTCAAATACAGTTCAGAGGTCTTTAATTCTGAAAACCTTAGGGATTGCTCTTCTGATTATTAAGCTTTGTTTCCAGTTTGATCCAAAGTCGAATACAGAAAAGAAAGCTTTCAGAATATATGTGTAAAAACTCTCATTACAGCATCTATAGTGTTCCTAGGGTCAGGAAATTGCAAAACATGTTTTGTGGTCCTGAGGAATATTAAATATTACTGTTGATTAGGGCTGAGGCTGATTTTTGATTCAGCAGTTGACCACATTTTCATAAAAGCAACTCAGAAATGCAGAGTCAAATGCTATTTGGAGAATTAGAGTTTATTGATAGTCTAAATTAGAACAATGTGATAATGCCTACACATAATGTGCTAAGTGATACCATGTACTAATAGCAGGCTCCCCTTTAAAAAAAAAAATAAAGCATCAGCTACCAAACTATTTTTCTTTGTGATACCGAAAGGTCATTAGCCTTCTGATTTCTACTAAATCGCCATATTATTTTATTACACAAAGATGAGTTATTTTTAATTAATATAAGAACAAAAGAAAAATTGGAAAGATTCTTTGTGTAGTATAATAATCACCCAAGGAGCAAAAAAAAAAAAAAAAAAGAGAGAGAGAGAGAAAATGAAACGCTTTGGAATTTTCTAAAAATAAATGTGCATAATTAGCATCTGGACGAAGGCCACACAGCTAAGCTACATTTCCCAGAAAGTGATATTTTTCATCACAGTATAGAAATATTCATTACCGGAGCTGGCAAAAGTATTGCCACAGAGTAGAGTCAGATGGGTGATCTAAATAATTAAAGCTTGAAATCCAGAGAGCTGAGTTCAGGAGAATGTCCCCGTGTGGGAGGGGTGCCATATGAGACGGAGTACTCCAGTGGGAGGAGGAGCAACAGAGGAGAGCCTTGGTTTCTTAATTTGAATGAAAAAAAAAAAAACCACCTTATCAAGTCATAAGAAGAATGGGATTCTTTTTGATTTAAAACCAATCTGGCATGTACAGCACGATATCTTCAGAGCAACTGACTATGTTCATTTCTGAGACAGTTTCGGTCTGAGAAAGAAATGGAGGAAATATATGAAAGGCTCATTGCAATATGCATTTTTATTCTCAGTGGCTACAGGCTTTGGAAGTAGCTCCTTCATTACAGCCAAGTTTAAGTATCACGGATTTCTTTTTTCTCTGAAAGCATAAGACACTGGTGTGTTTTTCCTGAATGACCTAAAAGTAACACTAATGTTAGTGTGTTCAGTGGCTCAGTTGTGTCCGACTCTTTGCGGCCCCATGGACTGTAGCCCACCAGGCTCCTCTGGCCACGGGATTTTCCAGGCAAGAATACTGGAGTGGGTTGCCATTTCCTTCTCCAGGGGATCTTCCCGACCTGGGGATCGAACCTGTGTCTCCTATGTCTCCTGCATTGGCAGACAGATTCTTTATCACTAGCGCCACGTGGGACGCCCAAAAGTAACACCGTGTGTGTGTGTGTGTGTGTGTGTGTGTGTTAGTCACTCAGTTGTGTCCGACTCTTTGCCACCCCACAGACTGTAGCCCGCCAGGCTCCTCTGTCCACGGAATTCTCCAGGCAAGAACACTGGAATGAGTTGCCATTTCCTTTTCCAGGGAAAGTAACACTAAGCCTACACAAAGGATACTGAAGCAACAGAAAAAGGCTCTCCCTGCAGTGCTCGGTCTCTGTAATGCTAGAAATGGCTCCTGTGTCCACAACGTGATGTAAAGGTCTTGTGTCTTCAAAAATAAGTGAGTGATGGGCAGAGTAAACCATCACCCAGGTGACCATTCCTTTCCACACAGCAAAAGTCTCTTCAAGACCAGCACGCTCCATCACATGCGGTGGGAATCTTCCTTATCCCAGACTGACAGCTTTTCTCTCCGCTCAATGGTTAAAAAGGGAAAATGGGGAAAACCCGCCTCCTGTTCCACATTTAAAATGTCTATGGATGATCATCAAGATACCATAAACTCAATGGTATTGGATGATTCATTTTTGCATGTATATAAGCATTTCCTTTGCCTGTGGTTTTTAACACCCCTGTGGGCACCGGAAAGGTGAAATTACACCAAGATCAAAGAATACTTTAAATAATAAATGTTTTATATCTACTCTTTTAGCAAAATAGTGTGTATGTAGCAGACACATCTTCAGTTTTATAATTTAGGCTTCCGCAATTAACTCTGGTAATTCAATTTCTCTTAACTATAAAGAGAAGGTTGTCATTTGTGTTTTCAGCTAAAAGAGAGAACTGGTCTTGTTGATGTTACAAATCACTTTCACACTGAATCTTAGTCAAAATGCAATGGACTAGTGTTCATTAAAATAAACTTCCTTTTGCCAGATTCTTTGACTAAATATTTATTCTTAGTAATTTTTCTGCTTGGGAGATGATATACAGGGATTGTCTACAGTGTTCCATTTATATTTTTATACTTTTGTGTTCCTTAAAGATTATGACTAGCTGAATTGTGGTTTCTTCATTTTCCCCCCGATTCTTAATATTTGAATTTAGCTTTAAAACCTTTAATTTCAATAGCAAAGCACAAACACTGAATGCACAATAATAGAAGAATGTGCTTTTAGTTGTACGATATCCCTGAGTACCAAAACCGAAATTCTATGTAATGTATATCATCATGGCTATAGTGAATAATACATAGTATCTTTCGAGTGTTATATATTTGAAACATACTAATATTCCTTAACACATTACTGACCAGAGACATATTAACGCCACAGGCATTAGTTTCTACAAAAATCCCCCAGTCAATAATGTGTTAAAGGGCTTTGTCACAAGAAAGAAATTCTAAACGTGTAGTGATGGATGTGGGGCTTCCGTGGTGGGTCAGACAGTAAAGAATCCGCCTGCAATGTGGGAGACCTGGGTTCGATCCCTGGGTCAGGAAGATCCCCTGGAAGAGGGCATACAACCCACTCCAGTATTTTTGCCTGGTAAATCCCACGGACAAAGGAGCTTGAGGGGCTACAGTCCATGGGGTTGCAAAGAATTGGATAAGACTGAGTGACTAAGCACAGTGATGAATGTTAACTAAACTTATTAGTAATCACCTCACAATATACACATGTATCAAATCAACATGTTGTAAACGTAACACTAGTACCCTCTTAAGTATAAGTGGTATAAGTGTTAGTTGCTAGTGGTGTCCGACACTCTGTGAATCCGTGGACTGAAGCCCGCCAGACCCCTCAGTCCCCGGAATTCTCCAGGCAAAAATAATGGAGTGGGTTGCCATTCCCTTCTCCAGGGGATCTTCCCAACCCAGGGAACAAACCTGTGTCTCCCGCCTAACAGGCTGAGTCTTTACCAGAGAAGCCTGTTAAATGTCAATCATATCTCAAAAAAAAAAAAAGAAAACAACACTAAAATTGTAATTTAGTAGCCTAAGTTTGATAGGCAGCCAAAACGTTCTTCTCTTTCTTGAAGGTTTATCCCATTTGACTTTCCCGGGGTCTGTGTCAAATGCACACACTTGCACAGGGTCCCCCCAAAGAGTCTTGCCAGGTCACAAGACAAAAAGATGGCCTCACAGGGCTGCTCGTATTTAACATGTGAGAGGTCAGCTTAAAGTTCCAGAAGGAAACCCTCACTGGTATCCTGCCGTTCGCCCAGAGAAGAGCAAGCCTTGTCACCGAGCGCGCCCCGTACCTTGGTAAACATGGGCTTCCCGTGCTGGGTGACCATTGCGCACTGGTCGCAGTCCACTGTGATGGACGAGTTGTGGTAGGATTCCTTCGAGTGTTTGAGGATGTAGTAGAGGTCAGTGACCCCTCCTTCAAACACAGTGCTAAAGTAACGAGGGATGAGGGTCCTGCCAATAGCTGGAAGAGACACAGAGAAACAAACCATTAACGATAATATCCGGATGGTCCCACACACCCCACACCACGGCCAGACCTCCAATGGGATACAGATCATACCAAGAGGCAAATTTTCCCTCCTTACCAACTGCCACATCCATTATGGCTTACAGTTAGTAAAATAAAATCTCTAAGTATTCAGGAAAAATTGATGTGGTTGTCTTTCCAGATTTGGTGTCCATCAATAATGTCAGAGTTAGTACTTCAAACGTAAAGGGGGAAATGCTGATGACGTTTGACCTCATAGATATTCTCTAAGTTAAACTATTTTCAAAAAATAAACATATCAAATCCACTTGGATTTTTCAATGGATTGTTTGCACACCAGATACTCAATCATGTTTATTATTTGTAGTAGTAGTCATAGTGATATAAGTGTTGATAATGTAATGCTTTGTGGGGTATGAATTATTTGGGGGCTTCACTCATTCATTGGATCTTTAGCACAAAGTCAAGAGAATAGGGAACTGTAATCAACAAAATGATTATTACAAAAGAAAAAGCTATTAGGAATGTTTGAAAGTCACATGACTTATGAGTAAATAACTGGGGTCTCTAACGTCAAATCTGCAAATGCCCATAGGAGTTTGGGATGGACATGTACACACTATTACATTTAAAATGAATACCCAGCAAGGACCTACTGTATGGCACAGAGATCTCTGCTCAATGTTATATGGCAGCCTGGATGGGAGGGAGTTTGGGGGTGAATGGATATTATGTATATGTATGGTTGAGTCCCTTTGCAGTTTACCTGAAACTATCACAATATTGTTAATCAGATACACTCCAATATAAAATAAAAACTTTTAAAAAGTCTGCATACATTGAAACACTTTCCAACACCGTGTCTCAAACTGCTTTAATGAATGGATATCTTTAACAGGTGATCCCTATCTGTATACAAAGAAATCCATACCTACGTGAATGCTGACTGCTCTATCTGCTTCTGGAGTTGGAAGAAAATCTCTTTCTAGAATCAAAGGGCCATCTTAAGAAAACCTAATACCTTCCACTTGGTCTAAATTGGTCTCTTTCATTCTGCATGTCCTATCCTGTCCCATTTTAGTTTGAGCAGTTCGTAAGTAGCTGGGTCTCCCTGATATATGATGCTTAGAAACAGCTAACAAGCCCTTGCTTTAGCAGAGATTTTAAATCCTCTTACACTGAAAATCCCAACTCATAATATCAGGAATTTTGCCTATGTGCAGATTTTGAGGCAAAGTACTAAAGCACTCTCAAGTGATTCAAGGTTTTAATAAATCTCTTACATTCACCATATAAGGCTTCCTGAAAGACAAAAATAATATTTAAGATAAATACATTACCAAAGAGTGCTTTAGTAGGAAAGATCATGCAATCATCACTTGAATGTTTAAAAATGTTTAATTTCATTTTCAAAGAATCAGTAGTAATCCATTTCATATGAATCTATATCTCTTTTGTACACGGATTTGGAAAAAATACTATAAAAAGAATACCCTGCCAAATGTTTTCTGAAGTGATCGCTAAAGAATCCCAATGTGAATGACTAGTCTCTGAATAATTTATATAGTTGTTATTGCTTCATATTTACTGCAGTGAAATCAATCAACAAGTGTGTGCTGAATATTCCAGGATCTTTGGCAATTTCATCCTAAATAATCCTTATACATACACTTCCTAAATACTGCCTAATCCCCAATAGTGCATGTTTATTTGCTAAATATAAAATTCAAATAAGAGTCATTTGAGTCCATCATATCCTTAAACATATGCATAGCTGATATGTCATAAAGAAAACTTTGCTAATATGAAAACCCTTATTGTACTTTGCTAAGCAGCTAAAATTAATTAAATGCATTTCAAATATTCCAACTTAAAACTAATTACCATAAATCAGCTCTAACAATTTGACATTTTGGGATCTGTACTGTGGAAAGTAAACACACGCCATAAAAATATAGATGTAGGGTGAAAATATTTCACTACAATATCCAAGGAATTGTCACATTAAAAAGGTTATGCAAATAAACATCATTGGATTAGCCACATTATCATTTATTCATGAATCATGCACAATTTAATTTCTCTGTAGTAATGTTTGCTACATGTAAACATTATTTTCATTCATAGTTTAAGGAAATTCAAATGGGAAAAAAGTTTGAAATTCCTTAACTTTCAATTGAAATTTTTCAGTCTTTTTTTGTGATAAAAGTCACATAAAATAAAGCATACTATTTTAAAAGTACGTTCACTTTGCTGGGCAACTCTCACCATCACCCATCTCCTGAAGTTTTCACCTTCCTAAACTGAAACTCTGCCCCTTTAAACACTAGTTCCCCGTCCCCGCCTCTTGACCCCCTGTTCCCTGGCATCTAACAATATACTTTCTGACTCTATTTGACTACTCTAGGTGACGTGTATAAGTGGAATTATAGAGTATTTGTCTGCATCTAGTATATCCTCTCTAACTGTAGATAATGCACAAACTCTATAGCCAATAGACTAGAGGGTGTCAGCTTTGCTTCACTGAATCCTTTCCATCACTGAAGGGAATGACTGTTAAGGACACCCGAGGGTTGTTTTCAGTCCTCTTTCCTTTGTGGGACTACCTCTACCATTTTCCCACTGTTTCACTTGGACCATCACGCACAAAGCTCTGTTATCCTCCGTGATAGACTAGCTACTCTGATGACCCCAGTGAATCACAGCAGTGGGATTCACAACCTTACATATGTAGTCTCCTCTTTTCAGATCGGGCCTGGATCCTGTGATCTGCTCTCATAAATAGAAGGTACTTCACTCTGTATAAGCTCTAGGTTCATCTACTTCATTAGAACTGAGTAAAATGTGTTCCTTTTTATGGCCGAGTAATATTCCACTGGGGCTTCCCAGGTGGCTAGTGGTAAAGAACCTGGTTGCCAGTGCAAGAACACATAAGAGATTCAGGTTCAATCCCTGGGTCTGGACAATCTCCTGGAGGAGAGCACGGCAATGCACTCCAGTATTCTTGCCTGGAGAATCCCCATGGACAGAGGGGCCTGGTGACTTCAGTCCACAGGCTTGCAAACAGTGGGACATGACTGAAGCGACTTAGCATGCATGCATGCAATATTCCACTGTGTATGTGTATCACAACTTCTTCATCCATTCATCTATTGACGGACGTCTAGGTTGCTTCCATGTCCTAGCAATTGTAAGTAGTGCTGCAATGAACACTGGGGTACATGTGTCTTTTTCAATTATGGCTTTTTCAGGATATATGCCCAATATTGGGAATGCTGGGTCATATGGTAGTTTTATTCCTAGTTTTTCAAGCAATCTCTGTACCATTCTCCATAGTGGTTGTATCAATTTGCAGTCCCACCAACAGTGCAAGAAAGTTCCCTCTTCTTCATCCCCTCTCCAGCATCTGGTTTCTGAAGATTACGCAGAGTGAAGTAAGTCCAGAAGACAAAGACAAATATCCTATATTAACACATAGATATGGAGTCTAGAAAGATGGTACTGATGAACCTATCTGCGGGGCAGAAATGGAGATGCAGACATAAAGAACACACTTGTGGACACAGTGGGGGGAGGAGAGGGTGGGTTGAAAAGAGAGAGTGGCATTGAAATATGTACAGTTCCATATATAAAACAGTCCATGGAAATTTGCTGCATGATGCAGGGAGCTCAAATCCTGAATTCTGTGACAACCTAGAGGGGTGGGAAATTAAAAGATGCTTGCTCCTTGGAAGAAACGCTATGACCAACCTAGACAGCATATTAAAAAGCAGAGATATCACTTTGCCAATAAAGGTCTGTCTAGTAAAAGTTTTGGTTTTTCCAGTGGTCATGTATGGATGTGAGAATTGGACCATAAAGAAGGCAGAGGGATGAAGAATTGATGCTTCTGAACTGTAGTGTTGGAGAAGACGCTTGAGAGTCCCTTGGACTGCAAGGAGATCCAACCAGTGCATCCTAAAGGAAATCAGTCCTGAATATTCATTGGAAGAACTGATGCTGAAGCTGAAGCTCCAATACTTTGGTCACCTGATGCAAAGAGCTGACTCATTAGAAAAGGCCCTGATGCTGGGAAAGATTGAAGGAAGGAGGAGAAGGGGACGACAGAGGACGAGATTGCTGGATGGAATCACTGTCTCAATGGACATGAGTTTGAGCAAGCTCTGGGAGATGGTGAAGGACAGGGAAGCCTGGCGTGCTGCGGTTCATGGGGTCGCAGAGTCGGACACGACTGAATGACTGAACAAGAGGGGTGGGATGGAGTGAGAGGTTCAAGGGGGAGGTGACATACCTATACCTTTGGCTGACTCATGTTGATATATGGTAGAAACCACCATGATATTGTACAGCGATTATCCTCCAATTAAAAATAAATAAATTAAAAAATACGTATAGAGGGTGGCACGAGTAACCTTGTGTCTATTGGGGCCCAAACTTGAGAAGGCCTAGACACTTCCATTTTGAGCTTAAGGGAAAAACTGGTTGCTATGTGCAAAGTCCCAACTACTCTTAAAACTGCCATCTTGCGAGAAGCCCAACCTAGCCACGTGGAGCAGTTGCAGGAAGGGGAGTACAAAGGACAACATCCCCAGTTAAGCATCCAGCCAACAGCCGGCAGTAGTTTGCATGATGAAGGATGTTCAGGACACTTGAGCCCCCAAAGAACTGCCTTGAGCGTGTCTCACATGGATCAGACGCGAGCTGCCTTCCAGAGACTTTGCCCAAATGTGCAGAATCATAAGTCAATAAAACGAAAGTCTTGGGGCATTCCGAAGTACAGCAATGGATAATCACAGCACACTTTCAATCTCTTAGGCTACAAAGATGAGCAAATTAGAATTCTTCCCTGGAAGAGGAGAGTTTTGCCACTAAAAGCATGTGAATTGTAGAAATGCCGAATTCTGTACAGAGGAAGCAGATCAGAGACACTGACCCTCTTGGACTGATGCGGACCTCATCTTGGCTGGGACAGA